AGACACCGGCGCGCGGTCCGGGGAGGGAAGGCCGAGTAGGCGGAGAGCGGAGACCGGCGGCGACGGCTGCTGCGGCGGCGACGACGGCTGGGCCGGAACTCTCGGACCAGCAGAGGTAGAACAACCGTCGGAAGAACACTCAACAGCAGCACCCCCAGAACCAACACCCCCAGAGGGAGAACCCCCTCCAACACCAGCGGCACCTCCAGAAGCCGCAGGACGAACACCCTCCTCCACACCAGCACCCCCAGGGGCCAAGAGCGGCGGCGGCAGTGGCGGCGACGACTGCGGCGGCGACGGCTGCGGCGGTGGCGACAGCGGCGGCGACGGCGACAGCGGCTGCAGCGGGGTCGGCGACTGCGACAGTGGGGGCGGAGGCACCGGGGAAGGGGGACGCGGGAAGGACAGACCGGGGGTACCACCAGAGTCAGCAGACTCCTCAACGGGGACAACCGACGGGAGGGGAGTGACGTGAGAGACACCAGATGGGGCAGGACGAGGCGGGAGAGGGGCAAGGACTACCGGGGGAGAGGGAGCAAGGAACAGGGGGGGGGCAACTGGGAGACCTAGGTGAGGGAAGCGGCGGTAAAAGGAGACGGACTTGTCAAAGGTAACGTCACGAGAGTGGAGGAAGCGGTGAGACGGCGGGTGATAGAAAAGCCAGTCAGACGAGTCCAGGGGGAAACCGAGGAAGGCACAGGGGACAATGCGGACAGTGAGCTTGTCCGTGCCAGAGGCACGAACGGGAGCAAGGCAGCCCCAGACGTGGAACGCAGACGCGTCACCGGGGGACCCGGTCCAAAGAAGGGTCGGCGAAACCTGCGGCCGTGCGATGCGTGGCCACAGGTTAAGCTGGTGAGCAGCGTAGCGAACAGCGAACGGCCACAGAAAATGGGGGGCATCGGCATGAATCATGGAGGTGCGGGCGACCTCCATGACCAAGCCGATGCGGCGCTCAGCAACCCCATTCTGCTGTGGCGAGTCCGGCAAGGTGTACGACTGGGTGATGCCCTCCGCACGACAGAACTGTCCAAGCCGACCAGAGGCGAACTCGCCGCCCCGGTCGGAGTGGAGACACAACACGGGGAGACCGCGGTGGAGACGCGCAGCCACAACCCACAACCCACGGGAGAAGAACGTCGGGCACGTCGGCCTTCCGCTCGAGGGGAAACACCGTGGTGTAGCGCGTGTAGTCGTCGACGAGCACAAGGAAGTAGCGCTCACCGCGCGGTCCGGGGACGGGGGCAGGGCCCCAAACGTCCAGGTGCAGGGTCTGAAGGGGGGTAGTAGCAGGGCGCAGCGAGGAGGAGTGAGGGGCACGGCGGAGCCGGCCCTCGACGCAAGGCGTGCACGGTGGCGCAGTCGAGGGAGGAAGGGCGGGGAGCGACACAGGGAGACCTAAGACAAGGCCGTGCTGGGACATGTGACGCAGACGGGGGAGAGCAGGGTGACCTAAGCGGTGGTGCCAGAGAAGGGACGGTTGAGTGAGGGAACGACACGAGCAAGCTGCAGCAACCTGGGAGGACGCACCAACCGGAAAAGAGGCGGTGTCTAGGGTAAACAGACCGGACACCGGGTCCCGGGGGAACGTTGCAAGGGGGGAACCTGAGACAGCCTCAGAACAGACAGCGAACCGCTCGTGCCCGGGGAACGTGGTGGTGACGCCGAGGTCCTGGAGACAGCCGACACCAACCAGGTTCCTCGAGAATGAGGGAACGTGGAGCCCGAGGGAACGGCTGGACAGGGAAGGGACGTAGAACTGCGAGCGACGACAGGACCCGCAGAGGGGTCAGCAAGAGAGACGACAGCTGGCGTAGCAAGCGGCGTAAATGCGGAATGGTCGCGGAAGAAGCAGGCAGAAGCACCGGAGTCGAGAGTGAAGGACAGCGCAGCAGTGGCAGGGGCGGGGAACGGAGCTGGTGGAGAGACGAGGCTAGACAAACTAGGCAGTCCTACGCCTGACGCAGCAGGGGAGGCTAGGCTACACAACGGTGCAACACCTAAACTAGAGAACACAGGATAATAAGATCCAGCAACACTAGCAGCATCAGAATAGATGGCATGCAAAGCAGCACCTATCTGATCCAGTTGTACCCTCAAAGATCGGCACGCGCTGGCGGAGCAGGCTGTGCCAGTCGGGGAGGTCCGGGGCCGGGCCAAAGCGACGACGAAACAGATCGTCGAGGCGGCGGAAACAGGGGGCAGTCGGGTGCGGGCGGTGGCACAGAGTGCTGCGAAGGGGCCCGGTCTGAAACTGGTACTGACAGGTGACAGCACCGGAGCCGCTGGGAGACGCCAAGCTGCGCGGGCCGCCACCACTGCCACCACCCCCTGAGGAGCCGGGCCAAACAGGCGGGAGGCGAGCCCACTGCTGCGGGGGCTGCGGCTGGGACGACGGCTGCTGCTGGGACGGCGGCTGCAGCGTGGGCTGCTCCTGCTGTGGCTGGGGCTGCTGCTCCTGACCACCAATGCTAGTCCCCCCAGACTGACTACGCTCATGATCACCAGCACCACTACCTGCACCACCACCCCTACCACCCTGGCAACCATGGCCACTGCGGCGCGAGCGCTGCTGCGGGTGGACCGCAGCAGCCATCTCGGTGAGAGGGGTCGCCGTGGTGACCGCAGCCGAAACGTCAGTGAACGTGCACTGGGAGGGGGCACAACCGTGAAAGATAGAGACTGCCGGCGCACCGCTCGACTGAGCGATAGTGCGCTGGCGAGTCTCGATCTCGGTGAGGGTGTCGACAAAGGCAGTGAGAGTGAGGTCAGCCGGGTGCAGGCTAAGGAAGTGATCGCGAGCACTAGCGAGGCGGTCTGGCAGGAGCATGGCAATAAAATAGAGCGTCATGCAGAAAGGGGGGGGGAGCGCAGTGAGCTGGGCAGCAGTGCTGGCAGTGCGATAGCGGGTCTCTAGAGCACGCAGGTGAGTGGCAAAGTCTGCGACGGTAGGGAAAGCTGCAAGGTCTGGGAAAAGCATAGGGAAGAGCAGGCGACCAGCAGAAGCAGACGCGGGTGTGGAATAGCGGGCAAAAACAGCGTCTAAGTAAGCTTTGGCCGTCTCAATAGTAGCAAAACGCGAGCGCTCAGAGACAGGAAGGGCATGGCTAATGGCTACCTGAGCGACTGCATCGCGGGAGTCCCAGACCGCACGGGCAAGCGCAGTAGTAGAGAAGGTCTCACGGTCATCAGTGGAGGGATCAGCAGGGAGGGGGGCAGGTACAGGGGGGCGGGGTAGCAAGCCGTCAACATGGACAACCAAAGAGTGGCCATCCTGGCGCTGACCTGTAAGGTGGCGGCGGAGATCGGAGAGCCAGGCGGCGAAGTCAACCGCATGGCCCTCGGCGTCGAGTCGGAGCACGAAGTCCGCCATCGTGCAGGGTCAGCGGCACAGCTCCACAGGAACTCAGCTACAGCCCCCTCCAGCACAGTGGCCACGAAGCGCCTCAGCACGGGCGAGCGGAGGAGACGGAGCCCGAGGCGGCACAGCAGGACGAGCCGGGGCGAAAGAGGCAGGCAGGGACGGTGGGGCCAGGCAGGCACGGCAGGGCCAGGCAGGCGCGGCGGGCCAGTCAGGGGCGGCGGGGCCAGGAGGCACGGCGGGGCCAGAAGGCGCGGCGGAGCCAGGCAGGTGCGGTGGGGCCAGGGAGGCGCGGCTGGGCCAGGCAGGCGCGGCGGGCCAGCCAGGGGCGGCGGGGCCAGGAGGCGCGGCAGGGCCAGGCAGGCGCGGCGGGGCCAGGCAGTGCGGCGGGGCCAGGCTGGCGCGGCGGGGCCAGAAGACGCGGCGGGGCCAGGCAGGTGTGGCGGGGCCAGGCAGTGCGCAGGGCCAGGCAGGCGCGGCGCGGCCAGAAGGCGCGGCGGGGCCAGAAGGCGCGGCAGGGCCAGGCAGGCGCGGCGGGCCAGTCAGGGGCGTCGGGGCCAGGAGGTGCGGCATGGCCAGGCAGGCGCGGCGGGGCCAGAAGGCGCGGCGGGGCCAAGCAGGTGCGGCGGGGCCAGGCAGGCGCGGCAGGGCCTGGCAGGTGCGGCAGTGCCAGGCAGGCGCGACGGGGCCAGGAGACACAGCAGGGCCAGGCAGGCGCAACGGGGCCAGGCAGGCGCGGCGGGGCCAGGCAGCGCGGCGAGGGCGAGGCAGGCTCGACGAGGCCAGGCAGGCACAACGGGGCCAGGCAGGTGCGACGGGGTCGAGGAGGCACGAGGGACCGAGGAGGGGCGTGACGGGCTAGAAGGCGCTGCAGGGGCCCAGGGGGGGGGCGCGACGGGCGAGGAAGCGCTACAGGAGCCCAGGAGGGGCGCGACGGGGCCCAGGCAGCGCGATGGGGCCCAGTGGGACGCGACGGGGCCCAGGAGGCGTGATGGAGCCCAGGGGGGCGCGACGAGGCCTAAGAGGCACGATGGGGCCCAGGGGGGCGCGACGGGGCCTTCGGAGCACGAAGGGGCCTAGGAGGCACGATGGGGCCCAGGGGGGGCGTGACGGGACCTACGGGGCACGAAGGGGGCCCAGGAGGGGCGCGACGGGGCCTAGGCAGCGCGATGGGGCCCAGGGGGGCGCGACGGGGCCTAGGAGGCGCGATGGAGCCCAGGGGGGCGCGACGAGGCCTAGGAGGCACGATGGGGCCCAGGGGGCGCGACGGGGCCTACGGGGCACGAAGGGGCCCAGGAGGGGCGCGACGGGGCCTAGGCAGCGCGATGGGGCCCAGGGGGGGCGCAACGGGGCCTAGGCAGCGCGATGGGGCCCAGGGGGGCGCGATGGGGCCTAGGCAGCGCGGTGGGGCCCTGGGGGGCGCGACGGGGCCTAGGAGGAACGGAGGGGGTGGCGGGGCCTAGGAGGCACGGGCGGAAGCGGTAGGTGGAGGGGAACCAACCTACGGGTGATACCATCTCAAAGAAAAACTGAATGATTGCATAGAGGGAGAGAACAAGTGTATATACCTAAGAGTGTTGTACCCTCTAAGAGGTTATACAAATATGAGTTATACATATATTTGACAGAAACTCCGTGCGATGCACATAGTGTTTTTGCGCAATTCGCATCCAAATGATCGTGTCGCAGCGAGTTCTTTCGTCATTCCTCCAATCAGCAAGCTCGACCAGAATTTGTTTCGACGCACTTTTCTTGTTCAGGCTTGAACTCAAAACTGCCTTCCATTCTATACTTGGATTTCAAAGTACCAGATTCAAGTGGTTTCCAGGTCTGCTATTTTAGCCGCGGGCTTTAAGAACGCGTGCATGTGGCAGTGGTCAGATCTGGAACCTGTGTCTGGTGGCGTCGTCCCCCGGGTGGTACCACCCGGACATGCCGCAGAACCGCACTGCCAGCAGCACCTCAAACTCCGCCGCCCCCCCTGCTGCTGCCGCCGTTGCTGCTGCAGGTGAGTGGCAGGCGAAGGAGGTGCAGGGAGCAGTGCTAGGTTGATGCAGCGAGCAGGGCTCCAGCGCCGCAGCAGCACACTCACCCACGGCGGCCCGCTCTGCCGCTTCCATTGTGGGCTGTCCTGCTGCTGCCGCGTGCAGGGGGTCTTTTGCGAGCGGTGCCGGGGGCGGTGGTGGGGGAGAGGCGGCAGTGCGGGCGGTGGAGTGGGTGGAGGGGGCGAGGGGCAGGGCGAGGATGTCAATGCTGTCGATGGCGATGCCCGCTAACTGCATGCCCGCACACAGCTGCTGCACGCCTGGTGGACACACACACATGGGAGGCACAGGCGGGATGCGGGGTGCAGGGACGAATTTGAGATTCGGAATGAATTAACGTGATGCTGCATGCGGAGCTCTTGAGATGCGAGGGGAAGATGTGAGGGCACGTCACGGCGCTCAGTGCACCGGCGCATGGCCATGCACACATGGCCCACACAGGCGCCACTCCGTGCGAGTGCAACGCTCTCGCACCACTCAGCCCTTGTCTCCTTACCTTCCCAATTCAGGCACACTGACGGGCACTCCTCTGCCTCCTCCTCCTCCTCCGCCTCCGCCTCTTCCCCCTCGCCCGGCACGTGCACCACAGCACCGCCGTGGGTGCCAGCATGGCCGTGGGTGCCAGCACTTCGCGCCATGCTGGGCTGCATGTGAGAGGAGCGCGGCGCCATGGAGGAGGCGCGGCTGCCACTGCCAGGGCGGCCCTCAGCAACGGCGCTCGCTGCGAAGCCCGCCGCCTCCCACACGCCGCCCGCTGCTCCCTCGCGCTGCTGCCCGTCGGTGCTCACGGCCAGGGCGCTGAGGTCGGGTGTGTGCGAGCCGTCCCAGCTGGCGTGCCGGCTGTGACCCCCCGCGCGCCGCATGCAGATGAGGCGACTGCGCCGCGCGGGGGAGTGGTCTGGGGGAGGAACACACCAGCGGGTGGGGGGAAGGGGGGGAAGAAGGGGAAAGGGGGTAAACGGGGGAGGGGGCGAAACGAGGAAGGAGACGCTGACGAGGGAAGCACACGCTACAGGCCACGCCGCTACCCCACGCACCGACCGCTCTGAGCACAATGCAACGCAGCGCGTCCCACTCACCTCGTGCCTTGTGCCCGCCGCCCCCGGTGCTCCCTCCGCGCTGCAGCGGGTTCCACCGCACGTGCCCCGCCGGGCCTGCGGCGACCACGCCGGCCTCTCCGCTGGCGAGGGCAGCTGCTGCGGCGACAAGACTCGCATCACCGGGGGTGCTTCCCCCCGCGAGCGCGCTGTGCCCGCCGGGGCTGGTGAAGCTGCCACCCCCCAAGTCGGGCAGGGCGGAATGCCGCCGCCTGTGGCCCCGGCTGCCGCTGCTCGCGAACGCGCCGCTGCTGCTGCCGTGACCGCCGCTGCTTGCGGGGCGGATTGGATTCGACGCATGCGCAGCGGAAGAGTCGGTGAATTGCTCAACACTACTCGACCGCCCCAACGGCCGGCTAGCCGTCAACGGCTTCACACCCGCTGCGCCGCCATCTCCGGCATCGTCGTTGAGGCTGCAGGTTCGGGGCACTATGCGACGGCCTGCGACGCCGCCGCGCGACACGGCTACGTGGGAGGCGAGCGTGGGCGACCCGGTGGGAGGCGAGGCGGGCAGAGAGAGCGCTTTTGGGATCAGCGGCCCGCCTAGCGGGTCATGTGCGCGCGCCGCCCGCCAATGCACGGCGGGGATCGGACACACCTCGGGCATCGTCAGCCCCCCGCCGATGCCGCCCACCGCCGAGGCGCACTCTGGCGCCGGCGCCGCCGTACTAGTGGCGGGGCGCCCTGCAGCGGCGTCCTTCCAGTTGAGCGAGGGAATCGGGCAGACGGACTCGGCGCGCGGCAGCTCGGCGGCTTTGGCGGCGATGCGGGCGGGGCCAGGCGGTGCGGCGAGCGCGGGATGGCGCGCGCTGATGTAGCTCGACATGGCGTCCGACCACGACGAGCCGCCGCGACCGCTGCCGCCGCCGCCGTCGTGCGACGCAGCCACGGATTCGCGAGACGCGGTCGCGGCGCGCGAGGAAATGCAGGCAGTCATTCTGGCAGGCGGACTGTAGCCAGACGGCAGCGCCGCGAGAGAGGAGCGCACTCCCGGAGAGACGCTTGGAATTGCGTGGGTGCCGGATGGACTGAGGTGCTGCTGTAGCAGTAGCACGGCAGAACTTCGCACGGGGGGGCGTGTGAAGCAAAAACTCGATGGCACAGCGGTGCTGAGAGAGAGGAGTGCGATGGCGCAGCAGATGGCGTTGACGCAAGTGAGACAGCTGCGAGGGCGACGGATAACTCGTTGCTCGTACAACAACGACGCGGCGTCGTTGACTCGCTCGTTGGAAGAAACCAAGGAACCGATTCCTCGAACACGGAATCATGCACGGCGACTGCCTGGCGTTTGCAGTGACGACTCCGACAGGCCCCGAGGCGATGGGCGCTTGTCCAGCCAGAAATGAGGGACCGAGAGGTGGCGCGCTGAGAGGGATTGCAGGACGAGGTGGCGATGGCAGGTGAAAACAACCAACCCTGGCTGCCGGAAACCCATGTTATGAGGTCGGGATGCGAGCAGCGACCGCGCCAGCTATGGCTGCGCTGTGAAGCGTGCTCCGTGGACGGGACGACGAGAGGCAGTGGCGAGGGCAGTGGGTGCCAGCGCGAGATGCTGCTGCTGCTGGCACTTCTTAGCGGCACGTGAAGCAATGGGGGGCGAGCAGTTACAGGTGTGGGAGGTGGGAGGGGATCGAAGGGAAGCAACACAAGGGATGGACGACTAGAGCAGGGGAGCGGGGGGGAAGGGGATGAGGAGGGGAGGGGGGTGCAGGCGGACTCACACCCAGCAAGGGATTCGCGGGGGGCCAGTTGGGGCAGTGGCGGCGTGGCGAGGCGAGTGTGAGCTGGATTGCGCTGGAACTTGGATCGCGCGCGCGGTTCCAACGGTGGGAGAAGGATTCGATTTGACCAGCACCTAGTCCACATGGGGGGGAGCTGATGGGTTGGGGGGGGGGGTGTGGGGGGTTGGGGGATTGGGAGTAGGCACTTGCAGACAAGAACGGATGGGAGGGAGTGTGGGGAGAGGGTGAAATGAGGACGGCTACAGCAACAGGTGCGTGGCTCGTCGTGGCAGTGGATTGGTTGGATTTGGCTGACGGGACTTGCAGAGCGGAGTGTGGGGCGGGCGTGAGCAGCAGGAGCAGCAGCACGTGAGCGCATGTGACACGACGGGGGCGGGGGGCCATACTGGTGCAATGCAAGCCCCTCAGTCGCATGAACGGCGCAAGCAGAACGGAAGCGGAGGAATCTACTAAAGGGCTTGGTACACATGATCCCGCTTACAGACATCCGCGCTTGTCGCACAATCACGGTTAAGGACCCATTGCCGTATACACCATGCTCTTATCCCCTAGTGTATGTGCACAATCGCTGTTCAACATGAAACGACCCACACGGGTCTACTGTACAAGATAACGTACAGATTACGCGGCAACCAATAGGATTCGTCCAGAAGATTACGTTAGCGAAAAACAACAGCCTAGCGAAGTCACTAGAAGGCTTATCGTCAGCCAACGAGCTGACAACACGCCACGTAGACACGGAAGTTTCATGTGGTACTTTCTCCCACCGCCACCACTGAGGATGTCTGTGGCTTCCGCTCGCGGAAGCTCAGCAATGTCCGAATCGTCTATCTCCCCCCCAACACCACTCCATACTGTCAGCCGTTGGACCAGGGCATTATCGCGACCGTCAAGCGGCGGTTCCGATCCAAGTGGCTACAGGAGCTGTAGAAGCTGTGGGACTCCCGGGTGTCACCAGCGTCATAGGCGACGAAGAAGCCAAAGACATGGCAAACGGTGCAGTGGCTCTCCGATGCATGGGGCAGTGTTGAGCAAGACACCGTGCAGCGGTGCTGGCACTACGCCAAGATATTGCCCCGCAGCTGGAGTCGGATCCTCCCACACCTCATGTACGAGAGCTCTGACCCAAGCGACCAGACAGAAGAATTGTGGGTGGTGGAATCACAGATTGACCAGTTCGCGTTCGGTGCCGACGCCCTCTCCGCCGAGGACTTCACTCGCATCGACGCGGATCCGTCCGCGCTACCTCAAGGAGCTGTTCGACATCTGAAACGCTGATGTGATTGAACGCCTCGAGAGGACGAGCCCGAAGCCGCGCAAGACGTTCAGCATCGACCTGAACTACGCTCCATCTCCTCGCGCTTCAGCCAGTTGCAGCGACGATCGAGACACTCAGGACACCGCCATCAGCCGTGAACGACTTCTGCAAGCGACGGCTATGATGGACGGCTTTGATGGCGCGGCGGAGATCATGAGGACCTTTTAAACCCACCCTGCGTACCTCTCCATATCTCCCCTGCATCCAATGTTACCTTGTTAACACTTTCCCCTCTGTCGTGTGCGAGCCATGTCCTCGTTGCACTGGTGTGCGTTTCCTCGTGTGCCTCATTGTTTGCGTGGGCGTGGGTTTGTGTGCCTATCTGGCCTGTGATTATTTTTGCGTGTGTGAAGGTGTGTGTGCTTCTGTGTGTTGTGATTCTTTGCAATCTCGCCCGTTGGTGTGCGTGTGTGCGTCTGTGAAGGGGTGTGTGGATATGTGTGCCTCTTTGGTTTTTGTTTCTTCATGAGTTTGTGATTCTCAGCTGTGCGGCAGATGCTAACACGGGAGAGTATGACCATGTGGACAGTGAACGTCATAAGCAACGTGGGAAGGCTGAAAATGTGGCCTTGGGCAAGAGTTGGAACATGTGGTTTCATCTCTGGAAATACGTGGATCTGTTGTAATCTAGGGGTTGTAATTCTGTCCTGCGAGTCAGAAGGCCCTGTGCGCCGGTTACCAACACGGGCGCACATAC